ATATATATATAAATATATAACATATTATAATGCATACATATATATATATATATATATATATATATATAATATATATATATATATATATATATATATATATATATATATATATATATATATATATATATATATATATAATATATATATATATATATATATATATAATATATATATATATATATATATATATATATATATATATATATATATATATATATATATATATATATATATATATATATGAAATAGGTGTTTAGATGTTATAAACTATTTAAGGAATTTAGACTTCTCATTTTCTTTTTACTAATGTTTTTAACTGCTTTCTATGTTTCTTGGGTGTCGAGTTTACATTCATCAAACTGATTTTGATTTTTTTTTTAGAATGGATTGATGGTTTAAGTTCTTTGTAAAATTCAGCGTGTTGGGTAATGCCAGTTCTGTTCGTTTGGAGAGATTTGTGAGGGTTATTTCGGTCATTTACAGCTCATTTGATCTCATTTATCCATGAAGCGGGGGACATCTAACAGTTTTGGTCTTATAAGGAGCTGCAGTATCTATATTTTTTTTAACGTGCTCATGAGAATGTTTGTCTTTTAACGTCATCTGTTATTAAAATCTTTACGAGGGTAGGCTGACCGGGTATGTTTGATATATTGGGACTGACATTGTGACATAGGGGCATTTATTTCTAAATCCTCTTCACCCAACTCCTCCTCAGAAACCCTTGAAGACATCCAAAACTTCATATAAATGACCCAAGGGAACACTCCGCTCCCTCGTCCACCCCCAATTCCTCTGTCCCTACTCCTACATTTAAAATATTTGCAGATCCATCCTCCTCCGTAAGTTCCCTCCACCCACCCTCTCAACTGCTACCATTTGAAAACTCACACGAATACCTTCTAAGGATAAGGATGATACCCTCTATCACAACAGTTTCCTTATCCAGATCCCTCCCCTCCTGACATTCTTCCCAGTCCCCCGGATTTTTCTCATCCTCAGTTTTCCTTGAACAATGTCCTCCTTCTTTCCCCAATCAGAAATATAATGCAATTAACTCAATCGCTCTACCCCCTCAACCTTTCCCATTTTACTAATCCCTGCTCTACTTCATTTACGTGCTTCTTTTCCCGTTTCGTTACCACACTTTCCTATTGCACCCTCTAATCTGACATCTAACACACCTCTCCCCGGATTCTTCTCCTACTTTTCCAATAGCTATCCTTGAACATTGTTCCAATACCTTCCCCAGTGACAGATGCATTGTATGTCACTTTACCCTCCCTTTCTACTAAACTCTGCTCTAATTCACTTCCCTCTTTTCCCTTTTCACTACCATGCTATCCTATAACACTGTCTAATCATTGACATAACACATTTTATCCTAATTTTGAACCCTTTTTTTTTTTTCTTTCCGACGCAATACTTTACCATGGTGCTACATGACCTTCGATGCCTAGCACATTTATTTGTTTTAACATTAAGACAAAATATCTTAGATCTCAAATATTGTAGTGAAAAGGGGCAAAGAAGGGAGAACAAACGGAGTACGGAGAACGTTCAGGACTGACACTAGGCCACCCTTTCATCCTTTCAAGACGGCTCTTACACCTTAGTGTGTGGGCGAAAGTAAGGGATGAAGAAAAAACATGTAAAATTAAGGAAGGCGAGGTGCGAGGTCCAAGGTAGGAGTGATTAGGCCTCTGTCTGCATCCTTAGCCCTCCCCCATGACAAAGAGCTGTTTTTTCCTTGAGGCAAGGGGTTTATTATTTTACTCTGCTGCATACTTTCTGACCAAAATTTCTTCGTTTCTTGTTAGTCGTGAATTCCTTGGTCAATCTGGCAGTCTCTTTAAGTCAGATTCAATTCGTTTAGTAAGTCCAAAGTTAGCCAGATGGAAAATTTTCTGAGCAAAATAAGCGAGATAAAGAGCCTAAAAATGGGCATTAGATTCCAGCTGCATTTTGGTTCCAAGAATTCAAGTTAATCCAGTAGAATCTTACAAATATCTGAAGCTGGAACTTTTCACATCCTTCAATTTATATCTTGTGACAGACCCAGCAATTTATGGATTTTGGTCCGTCAATAAAAACAAAATGCCTTTAAAAGGACGTGGAATTCCATAGTAGTTTACATTTTACTGTAATTTTGGCTGTCGATTTTAAGGTGGTTAGGTGAATATGACCTGATGAATTCTTTATAATTTTGCCTGCATACCTCCCAGCAGAATAACATTAATTTGTGTATAGACAAACCATATGCTAATTCTTACAAGACGATGTAACTCCTGTCTGGTCCATTTGTTGCTCTATTTCACCTTATCAGTGTGAACTTCCATAAATCATGTGTCCATGCACCTTAAAATACTCAGGATGAATAAATACACCATCTATTCTCAAAAGTTTCATTACGAACATGCATATAATTAAGCTTCCTGACTCATTTGAAGCCAGTATATCGTAGAAAAAAATCAGCTGATGTCTGCACTTCAGTTATGCGTTTGGGTGATATTAAGACAATCCTCACTCGTTCATCTTAACATTTCCACTTGCAGGTGTGTTATTACTCATTCAAATGTACTTTTGAGCTACAGTAAAAGACAAACTTCACTGTAATTGTGAAAAAATGCATGATGCCAGATGTGTACTCGCGACTTGACACTTGTGACCACACTGACCTTATCACTATTCATTGGACTGGGTACAAACACGCTGAGGGAGCATCACATGCCACTTTTGAGTATTCTGGTTACAATATAAAACTCCTTCATTATTTGCACACAGTAGGAACATTGCCATTGCTTTTTCTTTTTTATCTCGTGTAACAGTAGCCAAGATGCCATTTCAATCTTTCAAAAGACAAAAGGTAAGAAATTCACTCACTACACATCAATAAACACTATGGCATTCCTTTAATTAAATATATGTATCCTGCCAAGAACTACCATAATGATGTTTAAGAAAATGAAAATCAAAATTAAACGGAAAACATTCATGCACTGGTGGTATCCGGGATGCTAAAAGGTAATGATGCACCCTCAAACATTAGGGAAAAAAAAGTTATTATTACTTTTCTGTACTGAGTGTGCAAAGATTATGACGGTTCATGACTGCGAGACTTCCTGACCGAAAAAAAAAAAAAGTATTCTTGGGTTATCATTTCCACAACAATATCTTATCAAATGACAAGGCAACATCACAAAGTATATTTAATGGGTCTACAAAATTATCACATACACAAATTTCCCAAAGGTACAAATCCTTTCACACCATGGTAGCATCTCCCTAGTACTTGAATGAGGGGATAAAACAAGCAATATAATCCGAGTATATCCATTTATAATATGTTTGTGGCTAAAAGGGAGGAAAAGCATTTGGGTCAGTGGCATGAACCCAATCCATATTTGTGTGTTCATGTTTGTGTGCAAATGTGATAGCTGCACACATGCATGTATTTTCTAATGTTTGAGCTAATTCATGAGAACTGCCATAATACTAGTCTTTGAAAGTAATGCAAACAAACACCATGAACCTGTAAGCTACCTTGTTTAGGGCGTCATGTATTATTAAGTTTGAAGGGGTTGTTCTGACTGGTAGCGAGTGACAATAGCTAGATGAAACAACTGACCTAACATACTGCAATCAAAGGATGACCCAAATTGAGCATACATAACCTTATAAAGCTTTCTACCAGAGCAGCTGACTTTCAACTCTCATCAACTCTCAAAAGAATAATGGGAATGGAGGGAGGAAGGGAAAATGAAAAAGGGAGGATATGAATAAAAATAAAATGTACAAAAGTGACTTTACATTTAGATATTCATTATTGCGAAATTTGTTTTGCAAATAAAGTATAAAATATTTAGAAAAAAATCAACAAGTTAAGTCTCTTGTTTATGCAACTATTCTATCCTTTGCCAGCATTCACCATCAAGCTATACATGAAGGGAAGGAGGCCAAACATAGTGGTAAAAAATATTGACATTATTAATCACAAGTTTTGAATGGCATTATATCCTAGTCTTCAAATCGTACAAAACCACACTCCTTGTAATATACAGTAGCATCTTATCTTACCAAATTAAACCTATAATATCAATTAGCTCTATACACACACACAGGCCTGAAGAAACCTTACCATTAGTTCCCAATACAACCTTTAAAATAATAATGGTGAAAAAAAGGCCAGGAATTCTCAAAACTTGAATGGTGTTACAATTATGCACCTTGTATATCAAAGGAAATTGACCAGGTTGTGTCAGCTAAGCCATAACCTGTAATATTGCACCATGCAAAAGACTGATTGTACTGGACTCAATGGCAAAGCCTCATTAGGGAATCCTTTCGTTCTTTTAGGTGTGACAACAAATGCCGCAGGCACTTTTAATTTGTTACTTTTTTATTCATTCATTATTTTTCTGTAGCAGTGAGGCTGACAATATCTGAGCATCCTGAAAAGGTCTATGCCCTGCCATGCTCCCGTAACTACAAGCTGAAGAACCATATTGCAGAAAATAGTTTTTGCTTTTCTTTTTGGTCCTTGACCCATTCATTACCTCTCAACACAATTCCTTGACATTTTCAAAAAAAATGGGACCACACAGTTTCTCCCTTCAAATGACAATTTGGTGCCTATTACCAGTTAGGGTAGCATAGAGAGCATCCAGTGTGGCCAAAAACACCTGGTGTGTGCACACACATTAAGACACATAGCTGGAACTATAAGGTATAATTTCAGTGGCACAATTTAATGATTTACAATTTTATTTTGTAAGTTCTTAATGAATTTTTCTTTTGCAATTAGGCTGTGATTTGGAGTCTTTAATCTTACTTTTTATACCTTAACAAATAATTGTTTATGTTATTAAAAAATACATTTCATTTTTTCCTATGCCACAAAAAGCTACCTCTACATTGGACTTGATAAATAAAATATTGTGTATATATGCCATTACATAGTAAATATTGTCCAAAAATAATTTTCACTTTAACTGTAATCAATAATTTACATAGAAAAAGTATTTTAATGGTTCATGAAATTATTTCATGATAAAAGAACTTGTATTATGTGGGCTTATTTGTAAAACCAAATTGCACACTTTTTAAATTTTATGCTTGACTACCCACATCCGCTTTGAACATATCAAAAACTGTGGCTAAGCCCATCTCTAGCTTTATGGCAAGGTATAAAAAATAAAAGATAAATAAAAATAGAATACAGATAAATAACTTATCCCTTATATAGTTAGACTGCCTCAGTGGTTATGAGAATCTGTAGAAAACCACCTCTTTTCATTGGTCCTTAATAGTATGTACATCAATTTCATTTTCCATCAATCCATTCTAAATGCACCTAAGACTGCATGTATCTGTGTGATACAATCCCATATTTCTTGTAAACCTTAACTAATCCAGGCAGGAATGTAGTAAATCTTGTTACAGGATCTGGCAAAACCCTATTCTGACACGTGTCACTCAAGAGGTGAAGCACTCCACACTCACTTATACTTCCCCCCCACTTTGCTGCCAACTGCGTAGAGATCTGCCTTTTGCTGTACCTGAGATTACTGATAATGTTTCCTTCAAATGAACTGCTGGTATGTACCCCAATTTTTTCTTTAATGCTTCGATAAGTCTATTACACGTTCAATATTCTTCCATGCAAACACATCTTTTAAGGCAATTTGGAATCAATAAGCAAAACATGAATACATACTTTTTCTAACTATCTTTTCTTTTCTTTTATTTGGAGTTGCATAAAGAGAGAGCAAACACAGTTTGCCAATCCCAAAAGCCTGTTTAGCTATTGAGTGTGTTGCAGTCCACTAAAGTAAATTATAAAACATGACATGTCTATACAAAGATTTACAAATTTACAAAAATGGCCTCATGTTTTCCAAAGCTTAAAAAGTGAGCTTTTTAACTTAGAAGTACAGAAAGAGGTAAAAGATATCATGAAGACAACAAACATAAAGCATGATATCAGCCAGCTGCTACAAAAAGGACTATGCTTCTAACCGGAACTCAAAAAGATGTCCATGTTTATTGCTGTGGCTGATAAACACATCCCTATTTACAGCTCACTTGTAAGGAGTCTTTTGGAGTGATAAGAAATGAATGCATGAGAAGGAGAATACTGAGGATTGAACAGGATGTGAAAAATTAGCTGAGGGTATATTCACTGTTCAAAACAACAATAATAAAAAAAAAGATGAATAAAATCAGTGTGAAAGTGAATGAAACAAATATGTAGGTGCATATGTGTGTGTGTAGACATATATATACATATATATATATATATATATATATATATATATATATATATATATATATATAATCTGTGTGTGTGCTGCAAGTAGAAATTGAATTAATGCATGATAATGTATGATGTATGATTGTGAAAGACAATAAAACTGAATGAGAAAGTGAAAAAGAAAGAAATCTGGTTAATCAACTGAAGAAAAAGTAACAAAGTATGCATAACAATCATGCAATCTTCTGAGTATTACAAGTTATTAATAAATATTCAAACGGCAGTTTAAGAAAAAAATAACAATATCTACAATAATAATCATAACTAACATTAGTTTCATGATTGTTATCATTAGTGTCATTAACATTACCAACATCATTATGATAATGACAATGGCAACAATGACTACATATGAAAAAAGAAAAGAATAATAACAGAACTGACAAACTGCCAACCTGGAGGCAAAATCTACATATCAAAACCATATGTACGTATGTACAGTACTCATGTTTGCGTGTGTGTGTAAACTGAGGGAAAAAGAATTCATTCACCAGCAAGAGCATAACAGTAAAGAACCAACACATAACACTTTCTATCATATACAAGTTCCAAGTTGAGCATGAGGTGAAACAATACACAATGCACTTACAAGTGTATGCTTTCTCCAACACTTTTTTTTCTGTTTGTTAAAACAAATTTCCTCTCTCTCTATCTCAGCATATCTTTGGTGCAAACTCCAAGTGTCTGTAAATGCCATAAATAGGAAACATTCCCTTTTGTAACATAAAATCTCCTAGAAGGCAGTTCTTTCATCTCATTTTTTTCATGTCCTCTTTTTTAAGCTCCTTCCATCAATCCACATGCACTTTCATGAGAAACGAAAGGACCAGCATTATAAGCATAAAAGTATATTACCACGTCATAAAATTTATCTTACAATGGGACTGCATTGGCAATAATCTACATGAAGCGTGTCTATTACTGAAGGTTGGGGGAGGATTTGCATATGGAAAAGTCACTGCTTAAACACCTGGCAGAAAGGAAAACTGAGAACATTTTCCTCTTTTCAGAAAATTTCATGTATAAACACAAATACAGCCACAGTATCAGCCATACAAAGTAACTATCACCACTTATCATGTCTCTTTCTCACAAAAATATGTCTGCATGCAGCAGGAGAAACACTTCCAATGACTTTTGCCTTTCTATGATTTCTGCTTCAATAATTTCTTTTCCCTGAATATCAT